TAAGTGCATGCGCACACATAGTACCGTGGTTAACAGCAACTGATTAACTGTCCAGTAGAACATATTTGTTGCCTTTGTTTGATGATTTGCTGCTATAGGTATAAGTAATTTTTGATGATTACGATACGGGCTTATTTTTCCAAAGACAAGGATGCATTGACTCACTTCACGCGGGCACTCATGCATGAACGTTCACTGTTGTCTGCCTCTGAGACAACTAATCACAGGTGCTGTAAGCTCCACGATAAGACGTAAGCTGACCTCAATCCGTCTGCCCAATCATCTATAAGCAGACTAACATGGCGTATGACTGCGATGAATGCCTACGCTCTGACGCCCTGGATGCAGCCCCGCTAGGTTACGAATTGAACTCTTCCGAGAGTCAATTTCCTCCCATCTATTGTTCACACTTTCTGCAAAGCCTTAAATGTTTCTTCCACTCGGCGTCTCTTTTTATCTGTTGACGCAAGGAACCGGGTCTGAAGATGGCAGCTGCTAGGGCCTTACGTACTGACTTAATCACCTGCGATAAGCACTCTGACCATCCGCCATATCGTCCATATCCATTTACGCCTTCACCTGACAGTTCGCTTGATCTGAACATTAGCAGTGTCGCCATGAACGATCACCTCCGATTAAACTGATGGCCAAAACAAACCGAAGGCCGCTTTCGAAGCGCTCTGAGCTGCTTTCAACATATTTAACATTACTAAAAATCAATAGGTTTGAGCCTGTTGGCGCAACGTAAGCCGAAGACAACGTAAACGCTAATCGTGACCGTTGAAGAACTTATCCTAAGTACTAGAAGTCAAATTGAGCCCAGTCCGCCAATTTCACGGGTTGCAATCAGAAATAATTACTACTTTTCAGGTCCGTCCAGAAGAATGGAACTTAAAAATGTACCCCCTCCCACTACTTAGGCAGTAGGATAGCAAACATTCAGTAGAAAAGAGGAAATCGGGTCTTCAGTGTCTATAGCCCCCGTCGTTTGAGCCGATAGCAGCTAGTAAATGAGAGTCAGACCTCCCCAAAGCCGCATCTAAGGAGACAATTATAACTATATACTGCTGATAAGGATGACAGGGATGGTGACTTGCACGAGAATTAGTCTTAACTGATACTGGACCTCCGCGGCATCTACCCAACTCACTCTGCCCTCACCACCATAACAGTTTATATGATACTACTTTATTTATTTCAATAGGTATCTTTGTTTTGATTATATTTTAGAGACTACAATCACAAATAATGATAAGAGAGGCTGGAAATGCTGTATGTCTGCTGGTAAGGCTCGAAAGTGAGTTCTAATATACAACCAGGAGGAGGTGGTTATGTATAAAGATCGGTGAACTCGCCTCCATCATGAAGTTTGCCAGGCTGCAAATTCAGCGAATGAATTTTTCGCAGTTATTTCACGAACTCTTCCTCTCCGTTATCCCTCCTGATTCCCTATCGTCTTTGCATACTAAAATTACTTATAAAAAACTGACAACTAAACTGCAGACCGATGGGCGTCCGACATTTTCTCTAAATATACTGATTGATTGATAATCTAGATGTAGTAGGAGATTTGGCAGATTTGCTTAGTTTGAGTGGACCAAATTGCGAAAAAACTCGAGGCGTTCGGCGGTATTTGAACCTGCGTATTAGAGAAGGCCTTTACCAGAAGCCAACACTCTAACCGCTAAGCTACAAATGCCCCACCCCGAGCGCTTGGAATTTAATCACCCTTGGGTCGATATTACCCGCCCAACTTCACCGCCCGTATGAAATCCACCACCGCCGAAAGCCTCGAGTTTTTTTCACAATTGGGTCAACTTAAATTAAGCAAATCTGCCAA